TGAAAGCCAATAATAATAATAATAATAATAATAAATGCAAATAAAAAAATGCAAGTAATTTAGTGCAATTGGTCTGCTGTGCATGACAAAGCAAATCAAATGAGGTGTTACTAATGTAGGGTTCATGTGTTTAATAGCTTTTAGCTTCATCAGTTGTATTTTGTTTCATGCATAGAGAACTATGAGGTGGCCACTTCCAAATTTTGTACCACATCCACCTTGTAATGGCTACTAACAGAGCCCAAGTGACACTCAAGCACTGGTTATGTGCTTAATTGCATATAGTATTAGCCTTTACACACGATTAGAGCTGAGATTATGGCTGGGAGAAACAAATCGTTTTCCCCTACAAAATAAATACAAACAAAATTAATTAATATTTTATTTATCTGCATCTGGTAGACTGGTGTACTGAGCGAGTTGTCAATGTTGATTTTTGCAGTACCTAGTAATGGGTCAATTTATACAGAGAGCAGAGTAACATTGACCATCAACATTAGACATTAAATTCCTTTCATATGTGCATCTCGTCTATTAATAGTCTAATTACTTTTCACACTTTAGAAATACAAGGTGTGGCACATGAGCCGGTTCAAATGTGTCATTCATAGTGAATGCGTGACAGCCCTTAATTATGCCTTTTTTTTTTGAAGGGTATGCTTGTGATTTTTTTTTTTTCATACAACACAACATTTGTTCACTGTTCTGTTTCTCTATGACAAACTCAAGAGGAACTACGTGAACCTAGAGAGCGTTGCATGAGTGAAAAGTAATTCACTCAAATAGGTTTAAGTTACTAAAATACTAATCGATATCATTATCCAGGCCTAGCTAAGATTTGAGAAACACTGCAGACTGACCTGCTTGTAGAGCCAGAGCAGAGAGCAGACAACAGTGATGTCAGCCAGACTGATTCTTTCTCCAACCAGGAAAGTGCGAGTGTTCAAGTGCTGATTCAGGACTGCAAGGACTCGTTTCACCTCTTCCTTAGCCTGTTCTGTGGCCTACATGCAGACAGAGTACAGTCTCACAAAGCTTTCAATGCAGCTGCAGACAGCAAAAGCCATTGTATTAACAGGCATTCAATGCGAACCTGCTTGTTGAACTGCATGATTCCCAAAGTGGGGAACACCCATGCACTAGCTGGAGGGATGACCTCAGAGTCAGCAAAACTGACCCACTGCAGCACCTGGGCACTGGCCTGTGGAGTGCTGCCACGAAGGACATCATTGCTCACTAAGGGGAGGAAAAGTCAATGTTTTAATGTTGATTTAATGTTGCATATAAGAGAAACCCTTTTTAAGACACCATTAACAGTTATGCATATAGCAATTCAATCTGCCTCAAGTCAAGTTTCTAAAAAACAAATGATGTAAATAAAAACCTTCAATTTTTTTTTTTGATGGGAGATGTATTTGAGGCTGTTAACTTTAGATGGGGCCATGCAGTGGCGCAGTTGCTGGTGCTGTCACCTCACAGCAATAAGGTTGCTGGTTCGAGCCTCAGCTGGCTTAGTTGACATTTGTATATTCTCCCTGCATTCATGTGGGTTTTCTCCAGTTGCCCACACAGTCCAAAGACATGCAGTACAGGTGAATTGGGTAAGCTAAATTGTCTGCAGTGTATGTGAATGAGTAGGCGTTTCCCAGTAATGGGTTGCAGCTGGAAGGCCACCCGCAGTCTAAAACAAATGCTGGATAAGTTGGCGATTCATTCCGCTTTGGCAACCCTAGATTAATAAAGGGACTTAGCCGAAAAGAAAATGAATGAATGAACTAGATGGAAATGGTACTGCACCAGGAGATGCCAGCGATGCATTAAATGATTTGGGAAATTGTTATTGGTTTATTACAATACTCCTCAATGGAAATTTAAATAGAGGTTATTAATGTGTATCCTTAAGGCACAAAAACACAGTAGATGCAAAAAAAAAAAAAAAAAAAAAAAAAAAAAAACGCAAGTATACAAGTGTAGTCTGCAGGTCCCAGATATTGCTCATTCAGCTCATGGCCATGTATAGCTCACACTTCAATAATCCTTTATGATTATAGCTTGTTGTAAAAGATTTCACACTGCAGGAAAATAACTGAAATTTTGAAAACAGACAACAAAATAATAAAAAAAATAAATTAAAAAAAATCAATAAAATCCTTCCGATGAAATTCTGTCAAACGAGCGATCAAGGAGCACAGACTTTAGCCAAGGATCTTTTTAAATTTACAAATCGTCTCAAACAAAATCAAGACCAAAAATGCAGCGTGAGCCAGACTTACACCATCACGGAAGATAGGAATCCTAAAGAGAATTTTAATGTGCATATAAAAGACCTTCTCGAAATAATTTAGGACCTCATCACCACTTCAAGTTCTAATCAGTATCGAACCTTCACCTTATTAAACAGTTGTAGTTAAATAAATCAATGGCGCACAAACACAACAGAACTCAGATAAGCTCTGAAAAAACTAAGCTTGTAGGAATAAATTGCGCGGTTGTTTTCAGTGACAGGTTTCAGCCACTGTTTAAACTAGTCTTTCTTCAACCAGGAGTATGCAAACTTGCAATTTCCCATTTTGACATCGGTTTTACTTTATGATTTTGATACAAGTGGAGAGCATCACATCACATTCCCGCGTTTGTCGTAATTTACGTGACATAACCCGGACGAAAGAGCTTGGCCGGTTGCAACCCAGCCCAAACCAAAACCATGGATCCAGCACGCCGTTGTTAATACTAGGAGGAAAATAATGTATTTATGCTTTTTTGAAGTCAAACACTTTGCACAACATTTAAGACCTTGCGAAAACGCAATTATAACTTGAATAATTTTTAAAGGGCTTCATTTTCTCATGATTGTTTTATCAACTTTTAATACTTTAAGACCCCGCAGACACTCAGAGTATACAAGCATTAAAATCTTATTTAGTGTGAGGTACCCACATCGTCAACAATGAACCATTGAAGTAGACAAAGGATTAATGTATTTTGTTGGTAAATTTAAAATAAGTCATAGTAATGTTTTTTTTTTTTTTGTAATTTAAAAATTGTAATTTCAATGACAACATACTGGTAGCAGATGGAAAGAGGGACCATGTTTAAATAATACCATTTAATCAAATCAGATAACTAAACAAGAAAACCTGTTAAATGATCAATAGCAAACAGGCTCTAATAAAGATTACTTACAGTAGTGAGCAATGGCATTGCTCTCAAACAGACAGAAGCCATCATCACCCTGGTAAGCTGGAACCTAAATGAATGAGCATAAAAATATCATATAATCATTCTGCAAAAATGCATATAAACAGATGCAGGGAAAAGGAAAAGAATACTGACCTTGCCCAAGGGGAAGTTTCCAAGGAAAGCAGGGGATCGGTTTGTCTGCCCAAAGGTGAAGGCAGGGGGGGCACTCGCAATCTTCAGACGAGCCCCACTGTACTGGGCAGCAATCTGAGCCTTAAAGGCCCTCCAGTTCTCTGGGTATGTGTAGAGAGTCTACGGAAACATGGTTTAAGATTGAATTGCTGAAACTGATGCTGCTTGTTTGGCATCAGCCCTCTGTAACACAAACTCAGTGCCAACAGAAGCTGCCCCATCATTAAGACCACTCATAGAGCATTACACAGCACTTTCCCTCAGCCAGACACAGCTGACAGCAAACTGCCCTGCAATAAATTACTTCTCACTCAGCGTGTAAACAGTGTTTGCATATTTAAATAGAGAATCAATATTGCCAGAAGACACTGAAGGGCTGAAATTGCTATTTATTTATGAATCTACGGGTGGCACCAAGCTTTAAAAACTTAATTTCTAACAAAATCTCTAAGTGTTTTGACACTAAGAAAATTCACAAGTAGGTGCTTTTAACTAAACTACAAAATCTTGTTTGTCTTATTAATGAGAACCGCTCGTTAATCAACTCAAATCGCTTTTCAGTCAGCCAATATACGCGCTGTACTTTCCTAAATTAAAAGCTAACAACAAATACCGTGACCTCTTGTCATCTAGAAAATAAAAAAGCAAAACATGAGCGTCATAAAGGGGTAAGAAAAACAAGAAACGTGGCACAAAGAGCGTAGCGCTGTTTCTGCCCGTCATCACTCTAACCACCTTATAAAGGGGTGTGGGGAGTATTTACAACAGAAATAATCATCACAACAGCTACAAAAAAGACCACTAAATCATTCTAAACGGAGAAAACATGTGTAGATATAAGGATTGGGGTGATTATGGGGTGATTGCAGATGGAGATGAGCTGATATCAGGCGTCAGAGGGTTTTCTCCCATCTTACTCACCCCTGCCGCCATCTTCAGGACGAGAGAAAGGAAGAACGAGCGGCGCGCTGGTGACGTATAGGCCTGTTCGGTCGCAGAAATAAAACGCAGTAAGGGTGTCAAAGTGAGAGCTGGACGTGCTCCACTTAATTTATTTGGGAGCATCAGCGAAATTGCCTATAAAACATGGATAAATATTAAAATTGCTTAACCTTTGTTTACAATGGTCTCAACCAATAATAAACACATTATATTTTAAATGTTTTTTCCCTACTATAAAAAGTATTTTGAAAACAGATTTGTCCCTGCCCGACAAAAGCTTTTGCGTTCCAGTGAATTCATTCAAGTTTAAAACGAATTTGTTTGGTTTCATTGTTAATTTACATATTGTTTGTGTCCAGAAACTTTAGATATATTTTCAGTAGAAAATTTACAAAATATCTTAATGGAATATAATCTTGCAATTATAAAATATAAATTCAGAATTTTAAAAAAAATCTACAAGTTTTTACAAAATTGCTGAAAAATAAAACGTTATTTAATCATTTAAAATAAAATGTAAAAAGCAGTGGGTTATCTTTTTACTTGGGCAATGCTTGGGAGGTTCCATCTGTATGCATTTTCTTGTCAGAGTTGTTTTCTTTGATGTGTTATCAGACATTACAAGAGTAGCAAAAATCAGCAACTTATACACATTTCTTTAAAAAAGACACAAGACAAAGACGTGTTCAAAATTTTGTGAGTACTGTATTACAAATGAGCAGTACATAGGTACAGACAGGAATTTACAAAAAAAAAATATAAAAATTCTCTTTATATAAGGAGACTGTAAAACTCTAAAAACAATGTAATGAATAATTACAGTCCTTACAAAACATACATGTCAATCTGCTCAACATTTTTCAACAGGCATATTTATTATACCATGTTCTCTGTTGCCTCGCTGTAGAATAAGTCAGGAGTGTCCAAACTCGGTCCTGGAGGTACAGTGTACTCCATATTTTGGTTCATACCCCATTTAAATGCATATGAACCAGCCAAGTATGCTCTAGGTATATTAGACATCCAGGCCAGTTAGTTGGAGGAAGTTGCAGTGACACCTGTCCTCCAGGACTAAGTTTGGACACCCCTGGATTTTCCATCATGTAGAGCAGGGGTGTCAAATTCAGTTACTGGAGGACCGCAGCACTGCAGTTTAGTTCCAACCCTGCTTCAACACATTTACCTGAAGGACTCAATTAGTTGGATCAGGTGTGTTTAATCAGAATTGGAACCACACTGTGCAGAGCTGCGGCCCTCCAGAAACAGAGTTCGACACGTGATGTAGAGCCACTGCTGAGCTACTCTTTGTTCCCATTCGACTTCATCTGGTTTCAAATTTGAACTTGAAACTGTACTACCAACATTTTAATAAAAGGAGACAATAAAAACAGAAAATGGAAAAAAAGAAAAACTAATCTAAATGAATAGGGAAATAATTACAGTATATACACAAACTAAGTATCATCACCACCACAGCAACAACTCTCAAATTTCCCATATTCACGGCAGAGGAATCAGCTCACAAGACCTAGAAGAATAAGAGACATGTTCAGACAAAAGCTTGATATCATCACCAGAAATTATTTAAAGAAGACTTAATTAAAACGTTCTGTTATCAATTTAATAAGTATAGTTTCAAGCTTAAATCGTAGAAAACATATACCCAGGTAGTCATCCATTAAAGATCCAATGGCAAACTAATAAAAAATAAATAAAAGGACAAAACAAGTCATTAAAAACTGTTAATAAACATTGAAAAAATGATTTATATCATCGACATATTCGAGAAAACTGGCATTTACTTACAATATCATTCTTGTCCACACGAGTTCCCACAATCTTCAGTCGAATTTCATCATCTTGTTGAATCACAACGTCCTGTTAAAAAAAAAAAATAAAAATTGTGTTTAAAACTGTTGAAAAAGAACAACTTTCAAAACAAAAAGCATTCAATCCTACCTCATCCACTGTCTTGTAGCATGGAGGATTTGAGTTTGGATCAAACTCCATCTCAGAGGGAATAGACTAGATTCACACACACAAAAAAAAACACACACACACAGATTTAAGACAATTACACATGTCTTTTACCAATACACGAATATATTTTACCATGAAAACCTACATGTCGAGAAATGAAACAAGACATGGGGCCAATTTCTGTAAAGAGTCCAACCTGGGAAAAAAAGAAATAAAAAATGCATTGAACACTGGAAAAATCTGTAGCAGAGAAAAATTAATGTTCAGTGTCATGTAGAGATTGAGCTTTCACTTTGTAAGACAAATGTATTGTCAGGAGCCGCAATTCGAGTGTTCATTTTGTTTTGCCAGTGCAGGCTTTTTTTTTACTCTTAGAAGTGCCGGTTAAACATGTGCCAGGTTCCCTGCAATATATCCTGATAATGAACAATCCTAAAATTGGTATCATGGACACTTCAAAATTACATTGAATTATTATTTCTGTATAGTATTAGAAAACATTTTAGTTTAAGCAGATTATTGTATCGGTAGTGGTGTCAATAACATGACAATTTAATAGACTATTTATTTGCAAGCAAACATTTTTTACATGAATCTGGCCAATGACATCGACTGAAAATGTTTAGATTATTTACAGACCTATTGTTCATTACCATTGGTTCAACTCGTTTCCTATTCTTTATTCCTAGGTTAAGTAAAATTCTTAACGAATAATAATTAACTAATAACATTCAGTTATATTGTTCAAGACTAACACTGACATTTAAAACAAATGAAATTGTTTAGTAAAGTGTTACCCATGGCACTTTGAAATACTTTTACAGTTTATTTTGCTAGGAAAATCTGTCAACTGTGAACATTTAAGTGCAATACACAAAATGTAGTGTTTATTTGTTATTAAAACTAATTTGTAACTGCTTAAGTCAATATTTTGAGAATGCCATAGATTGTGATAAAAGCTTCAGTAATTATCACAACTAGAAAATCTGATAACACCTTATGCCTATATAAAAGCTCTGAGGACCATTTGCCAAGGGTCTGAAACAAAGGTAATTATACTACAGGGCTTGATTTTGATTGGCTGGTGAAACTTAAGGTGTTCAATTATTTTTAAATAAGCACACTGCTTTCGCAGTTCCAGGCAGGTCTTGACTGCATTAGTTCCACATCACTACGATGAATGGTTACAGTTATTTCACATTTAAAAATCAAAACTAAAGGCTTTGGCTAAGATAATTATGACACTACATAAGTATTACACACGTGAGCTGTCTGAGGACAGAAATCTGAAAAATGTCTCGATTTAAATCATCTGACCTGAACATTTATGTCTAGTAACCATAGTATAAGCACAATAATAGTCTCCAGTTTATTGAACAATTAGAAAATAATAAAACATTATGTACACAACACCTTGTTTGAGCATTATTGTTTTAATAAGTATTAATTATCCCGTACTGATGTTCTATATAATGTATGTTTTATATTTATATTTTTGTAACTGTTGTATGAAAATAAAAACACAAACCGTACTTTGTTAACCTGAGTGACAACAGCATCCACAACTTCTCCTTTGAAGGGACGGAAGACGATGGCTTTGTATTTGACGGGATACAACACAAAACCTCTGCCCGGCTGTATAACCCCTGCTCCAATATTATCGATTGTGGTTACTGCAATAACAAAGCCATACCTGGGAAACAACACACGAGCATTAGAGAGTCAGATCTCATAACGTTCATTCATTTATTGATGAAGTAACGTTAACTTACTTTCCAGTACATGTTCCTTCAACCTCAGTGAACAGTTTCTGTTTGACTGTGTTCAAAAGGTTGGGTCCAAAATATCTTGGATGGAGGAGAATTTCATGCTCCAGAGAGATCTATTGTGACAAACAACGTGTAAACAACAGTGAGCACAGAAAACATTGACGGACATTTATAAGTGCTGCAACTCACTTATCACGTAAAACTAAAACACCCACTGACTTACGTGGTAAAACATCTCTTATTGTATTTTAGCTTCCAAAAGTCTTGAATTAAAACTCTACAGCCACGACTTTCTATGTCAGTGCGTTCAGGCGCCGAATCTCGACAGCGCGAGCACGCGAATGTTTCCGGGTGAAAACGACTGCAAATTAAAAGCCCTAAGATTCCCTAGAAATAAAGTCCCTGCTAGTTTAGTGTGCGTTGATTCTGGATTCAGAATTTTATTTTTATACAAATGTAGACACTTCAACTGTTTTTGTCTATAAGATTCCCTATTAAGGTAAGACACTGCAGATGAAAAATAAATGAATTCATATTTATTAGCAGCTACTTCACCAGATGAGTGATTATTACATTATGATTTTTAATGCTATGTGTGATATTTATTTATTTGCAGACATTTTACCTCGAAAATCAAAACCTTTGAAGTCAGGCCCAAAATGTATATTTCTTTCAAAACATTTTCTTTAAAAATGAGAATATGCAAGTTTTGAGTATGTGCTGCTTAAATGCTAATAGTAGGCTAAATGTTCAAAATATATTGGCTATTGGCGTGGACACAATAAAGCTTTTAAAAACCACACAGTAAATTCAGATATCTTGTTGTTCACATTTGCTTCTGTTTTAACTTTTAAGATTGTCACGTAACAAAAAAAATAAAAATAAAATAAACAGTTAATAACCCAACTTGCATGATTTTTTGCTATGACCCAATGTTGTATACGTTTTTAATGTCCTTAAATTTTAATAGCCATGCAAATAAAACATAATTAAATACATTTTAAAAGAATATAAATATTTGTAACATGCATTTTTTAATAATTTGAGATTTTTCAATCAAGCAAGCAACAAATGAATGAATGAATGAATGAATGAATATCAATAATGCAGAACTTATTTACAATAGAAAACATGTTCTTTTCCAAACTGAATGGTTGCCTATAGACCATTTTGAGGGATGTGAACAAAAACAATGGTCCCAACGTATTTCCTGTTTTACATTTCTATAGCTTCTAAGAATCTAAAAAGAGACACATATTAATAAATAATGTTATGATAGCTGTTTTAATATTAAGTTATGATTGAATTGCTTCTTGATACAGTTATAAAATAGTTTGATAACAAGCAGGAAATGTTCATGGGCCAAAGACATGACCACACTGAAATGGTCTATAACTAGTGAAATGAGATTCGAACGATTTTATTTGTGTTTTTAAAACATTGAACACACAGTGATATCAATTTCGATGTTGTCTTAAGATTATGGTAATTTAATTTGAACCAATAACCAGCAATAACATCATCGTTGTTTCCACTAAATCCGATTTTACTCAGTCAATTGTAAACGCACCACTTTGTTTGCTGACCCGTGTTCAGCGTTTACACACAGCCTGCAAAACAACACACGAACACAAGAGGTCACTATAACTCTAAACTTTTGCATTGTGAGGTCATCATTCCCCAGATATAGGAACTTGAAAGCATTTTCTAGATGAATATACGATTTTTAATTACTGAAGGTTTTTTATGTACACTCTGGCATATATTTTTGTATATTATTGTACATTTCTGTATTTGTTGTTTAAAAAAGCATTTTCTATCGAAGCAGCGAGTGATATTTGCACCAATATCTTACATTAAAGTTTTAGTGCTGTTGAATCCAAGTGACGAATAAAATGTCTATTTCTCAATAATCCAGAGGTATCTTGACAACTAGCAACTATGTAAACCTAAATTATATTATTGTCTATATATACATACATACATAGTCTATATATACATACATACATATATCTTTGTGTGTGTGTGTGTGTGTGTGTGTGTGATCTTCAAACAAATAACTAAATAAATAAACAAATAACTAAATAACTAACTACCTAAATAAATAAATGAACAAATAACCAACTGACTAACTAAGTAAAAAAAAACTAATAACTAAATAATCTAAATAAATAAATAAACAAATAACTAAATAACTAACTAAATAAATAAATGAACAAATCACTAACTAAACAAATAAACAAATAACTAACTGACAAACTTACTAAATTAATAACTAACTAACTAACTAACTAACTAACTAACTAACTAACTAACTAACTAGCTAACTAGCTAAATAAATAAATAAATAAATAAGCAAACAAATAACTAAATACTAAATTAATAACTAACTAACTAACTAACTAACTAACTAACTAGCTAAATAAATAAATAAATAAATAAGCAAACAAATAACTAAATACTAAATTAATAACTAACTAACTAACTAACTAACTAACTAACTAGCTAAATAAATAAATGAATAAATAAATAAGCAAACAAATAACTAAATAACAAACAAATAAATAAACAAAAAACAAACAAATAACTAAATAACTAACTAAATAAATAAACAAATAACTAACTAACTAAATAAATAAATAAATATAAAAACAGTGTAGTTTTGCCAACAAAAATAAATAAAATTCATCATCAAAAAAAAAAAAAAAAATCTAACTAGCCCAATAATATCTATTTAATAAAATACATCATTATAATATATCACTAAAATTATTACTTAATTATTAACACCAGCAAATCATTACACTCCCTATAATGAGCCAGCAATGAAACATGATGTATTTAAGAATTAGGAGGTCCTTTGCACTAAATGTTAAGTGATGCATAAAACGTTTATACAGGAAAAGATCTCTGAAACGTTTCCTTCCAGTTTGGCTGCTGTTTTGTAGCTTTAATAGCAAGTTTTAAACGCTTCTCTTTCACGGACAAATAAAAGCAAATGCAGTGCAGTGCTATAGATCAGACTGTCCCTCTATTGTTGCAGAGGCAGGTCAGAAACCCCAGGACTAAAGCCATGCATGTTGATGAGCAGGGCAGATGTCCACACACATATCTGAGCATGCTGGATGAGCTTTGCATCATGCATATCCAGGCCGCTCCTCGGGGATTTCTTCATTCTGTCTGCAGCACATTCTTGCAAAGAGCAGGAATTCACTCATCGCATTAACCTTGATATTATAAAGGGCGGAGGAGAGAATGAGTGCAGATGTCTTCACAGTCACAAGTTCATGGCCTTCATGTTGTGGATACAGTGCCGTCATTTGATCAGACCTCACTGCTGGATCAACTTACAGCAATTTCTCACTTTTAAATCGCTGCTGTGGATGACACAGAGTGCAGATTCTATTTATTTGGATAATTTATGCACTTAAAATATATTTGTTTGGCCAAGATCAATACAAATGTATAATACAAAAGCACAAGGCCTTGCAAAAAACTAAATCATGTAGAAATTGAGAGAATATTGAACTTGATTTCCAAGAGTAAACATCAAATGCAGCAAATGTTACTGGCTGACCTTTCATTTCTTGTAATAAATGTAGTTTAGTTTGATCTAGTATTGATAGTTTGTAAATGATTATATTATATATAATATATAGAATTTTACTATACAACAATAATTATAAAAGTAAGCACTATTTGATAATACTGGTATTATACAAACAAAATTTAATAATATTGTTAGCCAGTGTGTGTAAAGATGAAACACTTATTCTAACCTGTATTTTATACATATAAACAACAATATAATCATTGAATTAGAAAGGTACTGCAATAAAATAAAGTGCACTGTTTACAAACTTATAAAAAAAACTAGTTGTTTGAAGGATTTTTAAAAGATATGTTTAATATATATGGATATTAAGATGAGTTAAGCAATCAGTGTACACTCCATTTGGAAAATATATTAATATTTAATACTTTGAATATTTTATCCATTTACCAGTATTAGTATTTCTAATGTTTTAGTCACCAAAATATTTAGAAATTAAAAGATAATACAATTAAATTCAAGCAAAATATTGAAAGCAAAAAAATTACAACCTACAAAATGTCAAACATTTATTTTTTTACTTCTCTTGATTTTTCCTCTTTTTTTAAAATTTGTATTTAATAATTTTCTATAACATATAAATTTGGATGTACTAGTTTTTGGACTGTTATCGTAAGTTGTGGGATAAGCTCCAGCTTTGGCTTCAGTACTTACTAATCTAATGTATATGCACAAATGTATGATTGTATAGCTTCCTATTAAAAATATTAATAAAAAAATGATTTGTAATGGGTGTACTTATATGTGGAGAGTGTGTGTATGTGTGTGTGTGTGTGTGTGTGTGTATAATTTTCTTGATTCTGCAATTACTCATAGGAAGTGACAGTTTTGTTAACCACGACGTGAAAGAAAGTGAACATATGTAAGCAAACCTACCACAGTAGTGGTTTATTCACCTTTCATTGTGCAGCATTTTGTTTGGACCAGCACACTGTGTTCAGATATATTTCTCTGGTGCGGCTTTTGTTTTTTTGAGAGCAAAGCCCTTGTCCGGTGTTGATGTGAGTGCTCTCCGAGCTCCTGCAAAGAAAAGCCCTGTTCCTGAGCTCCGGCTCACTACTTTCCTTCCCCCTCTCCCTGCTCTCGCCAAAGGTAGCTTTCAGATGCAAAATAAGCAGACATATGGAGAGGAGGTCTTTCTCCAGCCCTCCTAAAGATTCAGATTGTATGACAAATCACGTCCACCACCACCCTCCCAACCCCACGCCGAATCTCCAGACAACAGCTTCATTAGAGTGAAAGAAGCAGTTTTTGCAGCTTTGTCGAGTCAAGCTCAGACTTCTTTCCCTTCTCAATTACTCCATTGTTGGCAAGAGATTCGAGTTATTGCACTCAAAACCATATGGCTGATTCGAACACCTAGTGCACCAAGTGATGCCATCACCCCAACCTGTTTCACTTCAAGAATAAATGAGTCAAAAAAAAAGAAATCATTGGAGTCATTGGACTCAAACATCTGAATTACGTTCTTTTAACTTAATTTAGTCAAACAGAACCCATAAACAAAATAAAAAACACTCATTTAAATTGTTTTAACTTGAACACAGTTTACTGTTGCATAAACAAATCACTTTGAACAATTGAGAAAAACTACTTTATTAAAAAAGAAAAGTCTTTTACTCGTCATATGAACTGGACAAGTAAACAGAGACTCAGAACTAGAATTAGCACAGTTATTATTACTCAATAGGTGAAGCAACACACTTGGAGAAAACATCCTAAGCATAATAAAAA